CACATCAGTGCTGTGGAGAGTTCACACTGGAGTCTGACGCAGGTCACACTTTGCATGTCTAAACCGGCTCAGCTATTTCTCTTTCTCAAATTGGCATTAGCCCTTATCTTTCAGCAGATCATGGGGATTGTTCTGGGCTACCATCATACCAAATTTCACCTTAATATTTATAGAAATGGCCACGTGACACACATTTAAAATTATCTTTGGTGGCCATCTTGAATTTTTGGTTTGCATTTAGATTTTGTTGAAGATTATTTTCAGTTGCTATTATACCAGTTTTTAACTTTGTATGTTTTAAAACTGGCTGAAATATAGTTCTTTCTGAAATTAGCATCAGCCCTTAGCTTAAAATCAAGATTAGCTTTCAGCATGCCATGGACATTGTTCTCGGCTGCAACTATAAAAATGTTCAACTTTTTATGTTTAAAATTGGTTTAGTTATAACCCCTTTGTAAATTTAACATTAGCATTAGCATTAGCAGTTTCCGTAAATTGGGATTAGCAATAAGCATGTGTTTGTGATCATTCTTAGCTAAACCACAACTAATTTTAGCTTAATAAGTCCTTTAATGGCTGAATTATAGCCATTTACATTTAGTTGTGTTGGTCATCTTATTTTTGATTTACATTTAAACTTTGGTAAAGACTGAATTTGACTACTTTAAATACTTATTTTCTGCTTTGTTAAAAAATGGCTGAAATATAGTTCTTTTGTAAAATTACATTAGCACTTAGTTTGAAACTGGGGCTAGCCTTCAGTATGTGTTTTTGGGTCATTCTTAGATCAAACAAATGTTTGCTCAATATTTCTTAAAACTACTGAATTAGAATAATTTGAAATTAGCTGTGGCAGCCATCTGGAATGTTTAAATCTAAGTATTATTTTTTATTTGTATGTGCTCCCCCCATTGCCCACCTGCTGCAGAAAAGTCTAGTTCTGCCCCTGTTCTTACATCAGGCTTCTTCATGTCTGTCCCTCTGCAGACGACCCACACAAAGACAAGTGATTCTAACATGGACTTGAAGTGCCGAAGACGAGTTTCCTACAAGAGGAGATCATCCACAGGTCAGAGTAAAATACTGGTATTTAGTCAGTGGAGTACATCTTCTTGTCTAGATTTCTATCAAATGGTACATATGTATCATATGTTCCACCAGGGCCTACTTAACCTGCTGGTAGGCCCTGTGGTTAAGGGGTCCTGTAGACACCCCCAGGTTTGGAATCCTGGTTGCACTAATCAGCTAATAGCTAATAGTCAGTTTCAACACTGAGCACCATTCAGACCAATTTCTGATGGACAGTATTTACAAATTTATAACCAACCAGGTTACTGAAAGCACTTCACAACCCAGTCTGTGTCCTCATTCACCCCTCCACACACTAATACAGCATTTAGTCAGTGTGCTCAATTAGCAGTACACTACAGTACACTGTGATCATACAAGTAGCATTTAAAGTTTAGAAATACATACAGCATTTGGTTTTGTGTATATTTACTGTCTATTTTTCTCCACTGTTAGAGACTCCAAGTACTCAACAAAATGTATTTAACGGCCTTTAAGGGACTCGTGTCAAACGCAGGTGTCTTTAGTCCTGTACTCAGTCTGTCTGTTTAAAGGCTGACAGGTAGTCACAGGGCTGATTGATGTCAGGGTGTGTAACACACTCAACATGGAGCACGGGGAGATGAGTGTCTCAGCTGGCTCAGGTGGACCAGAACACCAGTGGACAGGTGGACCAGAACACCAGTGGACAGGTGGACCAGGACACCAGTGGACAGGTGGACCAGGACACCAGAGGACAGGTGGACCAGAACACCAGAGGACAGGTGGACCAGGACACCAGAGGACAGATAGACCAGAACACCAGTGGACAGATGGACCAGAACACCAGTGGACAGATAGACCAGAACACCAGAGGACAGGTGGACCAGAACACCAGTGGACAGATGGACCAGAACACCAGAGGACAGGTGGACCAGGACACCAGAGGACAGGTGGACCAGGACACCAGAGGACAGGTGGACCAGGACACCAGTGGATAGGTGGACCAGGACACCAGAGGACAGGTGGACCAGGACACCAGTGGACAGATAGACCAGAACACCAGTGGACAGATGGACCAGAACACCAGTGGACAGATAGACCAGAACACCAGTGGACAGATGGACCAGAACACCAGTGGACAGATAGACCAGAACACCAGTGGACAGATAGACCAGAACACCAGTGGACAGATGGACCAGGACACCAGTGGACAGATAGATCAGAACACCAGTGGACAGATGGACCAGAACACCAGAGGACAGGTGGACCAGGACACCAGTGGACAGATGGAGCAGGACACCAGTGGACAGATGGACCAGGACACCAGTGGACAGATAGATCAGAACACCAGTGGACAGATGGACCAGGACACCAGTGAACAGGTGGACCAGGACTCCAGTGGACAGATGGACCAGGACACCAGTGGACAGATGGAGCAGGACACCAGTGGACAGATGGACCAGGACACCAATGGACAGGTGGACCAGAACACCAGAGGACAGGTGGACCAGAACACCAGTGGACAGGTGGACCAGGACACCAGTGGACTGGTGGACCAGAACACCAATGGACAGGTGGACCAGGACACCAGTCTTCAGACTCAGGTCCCTCTCAGGCTCATGGTTCTGGTGTGGTGAGGGGGGTTTCCTGCTGATGTCATCACATCAGTTCCTCCTGCTCAGCTGAAGTCAGGAGAGGAGCTGGTCCAGGTCTGAGACACTGTTAGCTCCATGTCTGTCTCTCTCTGGACGTTCTGTCTCCACTGCTATGTCCCTGAGGATGGAGCTCAGACAGCAGCGCTGCTTTTAGATGACAACAGTCTCTACATGTGATGGTGAGCGAGACGTAGAGCTGCTACCTCCACACAGCAGCTCTCATGGATACAGACCGTCCCTGTCCTCCAGCAGGACCGCCGTGTCCAGAGGTTTCATCACTCAGGAAGCTGTAAACTCATCTTTCTCTGTGGAAACACAATGTTTTTATTTTTCCTTTAACTGTGTTTGTCCTCAGGTCAAGCCCAAGTCCTCCCCCGCTGCCGTCAGGGTTAATGATGTCCCCAGAGGACACCTCAGCAGAGACGTAACTGTCCCTCCTTCCTGTCCTCTACAGGCTCCCACGACAAGGAGCGACGCCTCTACGCCTCCTCATCGACTGAGGACAGGAGAGAGTCAGCTGAGGAGGGCGAGGATGAAGACAAGGAGGAGGAGGAAGAGGAGGAGGAGGAGCAGAGGCCCCTGTGTTCCGGTGTGCTGGGCTACCCGGTGGTCAGGGACCACAGCTTGGGTCTGGGACTGAGCAGCGCTCCGGAGGGCCCGGCTGGAGACACCACACAGAACCAGGAGTATAAAGGTTCTTTATTCAATTTATTCCTGATCTTTCAGGGTTCTAGACGTGTTGAACTCCATGAATTATAGCAGATTTATTTTATGGTTGATGCTGACTTTTCAGACATTAATACTGAGCTATCCAACTAAACTGCTCAGTTAATTAAAGCCAACAACTCAGGGGCAGGACAATTATTATTATCATCTTTCACCTTTTAAATTTATTTTGTTGCATTTAATCATAAATTTAAAGTTTACCATTGATATAAGAAACAATTTCCATGTTACGTAAAAAAATATTTTTGGGGGGGCTGGGCCGACAGGCCTTCTGTGTGGTCACACGTGGGCCAAATGTGGGCCTTGTGTTTGACACATGTAATCTACCTAGCTATGTTTGCTGACATTTTGTTACTTGTGTTTTTCAGCTTTGTTTTTACTACTTTTGTATTTCAGCTTAGCCTGTTACCAGACCCTTGTCCTTCACTTTGCTTCATACAAGGGTCTGGACTCTTAGCTGTAGAGAAGAGATTCTTGCAGGAGGCATGGCCTCTGCTGAAGTTTAAAATGATTGGATCTGTTGGCCGCCACGTTTGTCGCTGTAATGGAGGCTAAGCTAAGACGCTAACCGGAAGTCGCGTGTGCTGTAAACAACCCTACTGAGAGGAGAAAAGTACCGAGCCGAACGAGACGACTGTAAATGAGAGCTGCTGCTTTGTCAGACAAATTTAATTTAATTTGGAAGCCTGATCAACACAGACTGGCTTCATTCACTGCCGTACTGTATGCTAAACTAACTAGCAGACACTGAGCAGAACATCAACATCATTCAAAACTCCGCCTTCTGTTCTCTGATTGGCCCAGGTAAAATAAACTACAAGCAGACACTGCGCAGAAAATTGAGGTTCTGTTCTCTGATTGGCCCAGGTAAAATAAACTACAAGCAGACACTGCGCAGAAAATCAACATTCTGTTCTCTGATTGGCCCAAATGAAATGCTCCTGAAGAAATCCTTGTCTGTGGGAGAAGTCCCAGACGGAGCAGTGAAGGGAAACTAGAATTGAACTGAACTGCGTTGGAAGGCAAGGYCCAGGCTAGTTTCAGCTAGCATTTTGCATTTTAACATTTAGCTAAAGATTTRGTACTTGAATCCTTTGGTAGCATTTTACTGCTTTTGGCTTTTAGCTACAGTTTTGCTCCCTTTAGCTATTAGATAGCCTGGTACATTTAGATTGTTACTAATGTGTTAATAGTGTGGAATTTTAGTTTTTGTTTTACTCATTTTAGCTTTTTTTCTGTAACTTTGAACTAGATTTATGTTTTTTTAGTTTTGGCGTTTAGAGTTTTGCTTCCTGTAGCTTTGAATAATTATTATGCTGGTTTTCTCTAGCATTTAGCTACTTTTATCTTTCAGCTAGCATTTTGCAACTTTTGTCAGCTCTGTTTTTATTACTTTAATATTGTTGCTAGTATTTTAATGACATCGTTTTTACCTAGTTCTTTGTTACTTTTATCCTTTAGCTAGCATTTTGCTGGTATTGGGAAAGGGGATGGAATTTGGACCGAACGGCATGACGCATTGCGTGCTGGGTAATGGCCGCCATGTTGTATGCTAATTTGCTAACCAAAATACGACGCATTGCATGGTGGGTAGCGACCACCGTGTTGAAGGACAACTGTTTTCAAAATACAAAACAAAATGGACCTAGACAAACTGAAGAGCAATATTCTTTACTGCGACAAACTGAACAAAGATGCTAAACAGCGAGCTAACACAGCTGAGCTTATGTTTCCCAACATAGCTAGCTACCATGTTTGTGGCGTGAGTGCATACATATGTGAGTGATTCAGAAATCAAACCTCTGGAGGCTCATCTGCAGTTCAAAAAATGGATGCAGGACCAGCAGAGATTAGTGAACAACCACAAAATTGCTGTTTTTACGAAGGTAGGTGAACTCCATGAGCATGACCCACCCCCCAATACACACACACACAAACACACACACTCTCACACACACACACACACACACACACCTGTTTTGACTACAACAGTTCTGATCGTTGCAGATTTTCTGGTCTAAACACTAAAGTTACGTGTTGTTTCTGGTGATTAGTTTAACATTAAAGCTCTTCTGGTTTCAGATTTTATTTTAAAGACTTTCATTTCAACCTCACATTGTAAAGTTGTTTACACAGTAAATGTAATCTTCAACCTATGTAACACGTTTACATGTGGTTTCTGGTGATTAATGTAAAACATTGTGTTATTCTGATTATTATTATTATAGAGTAGAACATATTTCTTTGTTCCAAATTGGTGAAATTCATGATCGCCTGTCCTGGAGCATGTTAAAGGCACATAAATGCATATTTACACACAGATAAAACTGATAAATTCTTTCACATCGGCTAAAATGATGCATTAAAACATTGAAAAACAAGAACTGATTGTGCAGTTACTCTATATTTACAACTGAAAAGTAGTAATGTGAAAGTAATTTGTTTCACAGCAATTTTATATTCATATTGTAYCATTAATTTTACACATTTTTGTTTTCTAGATTCTGCACTCTCAGCGCCTGAATGAAGCACCGCTCCAAACATGGGTGATTCTGTTCCAGAGGCCAAGTGGACTGTGCACACTTCATGTGCATGGAGGCATTGCAGAGTCTTGCACACGTTTGTGCTCTAATGTTTAAAATTAAAGTTGTTCAGATAAAAGGGGACCAAAACAGTCAGTGATGCTCCAGCATACTGGCTGATGCTGACTTTAAGCTTTTTCCATTTTTCCATTTCCTTTAAGTTTTATTTTTCCTCATTAGCAAATAAATGTTTACAATATTTGTGTTTACTTACTTGTTTACAGAAATTAGGCATACTTCAGATTAAACTGCGACTGCATCGATTTTATTAGAGCGTTACTCATGTGAAATATCTGCAGTACATTTTCAGTTTAAATTGTAATAATTTTGTATTTAAATAGCATTTTATTTGCTCACAGTGGCATTTGACATGTTTAACCTGTTTTATTCACAGTTCATTTACTGTAACCTTGACATGTTTTATATGTTATAGCAATGTTCAATGTTTTTCCCACAAATGAGACTCAAAACTGAAATATTCTTCAGTCATTCATACAACACTTCTATGTGGAACAATTTTAATGTTAAGTTCAGTTTCAAGTCTGTGCTAGACAGAGAAGTAGCTGAGGCATCCCCTCCCACCAAAACAGCCAAACATGGAAGCCCAGTGAAATACTTGACCATCACATCATCTTGTAAGAATTGCTCATTCATTTTATTTTTCAGAACAGCTCTGTCTTCAGGATGATATTTTCCTCCAGCTTGAACTTCTTTGTGCGCAAGATGTAAGGAAGGTACCCAGTCAGGATGYCAACCCAAGAACTCGTAGGCTGGCTTGCTGTAAAGGAAAAAATAACTTTATGTAGCTTGTAGTGCAGCTTGTGCAAAGGTATAAAGCTAATTGTGCATAAATGGCTTTTAGGGTTCTCATCGGCTTAGAAAGCTACCTAGTTAGCTCGTTAACTAGCTATATGTTACATGTGAACAATCCTAAGCTAAGCAGTTAATAAGTTTAATATTTCATTAAACTTTGTGTGGAAATGCCGTGATCACACAAACGTTTCTGGAAATACTCCTGACCTGAAGGTGGCGATGGTTCGTTGCAGCTCCCACCCACCACACGARGTCTGTTTTCATGCCGAAAAACTGTAAAAACACAATCCGTATTCCTCCTCCGATCGTGAGAATGACTGTGGCTGTTGATAATGCAGCTRGCAATCACCTTTTGAGTGTATTTTACGGTGAATCACAAAACCAAAATAATGATCAAARAAATCYTACTGCTAAACCGGCTCTGCTGCTAARTTCTGTTTCCTAAACTCCCAGAATGCATTGCGCGATCCCTGTCCGTTCCAATTCCATTCCCATTCTCTACTGGRTTTTAACTACTGTTCTGCAATYTTTAGTATTTAGTTAGCCTTTTGCTACATTTAGCATGCAGCTAATGTTAGCATTGTGTTGTTCGGGCTTTTGTTTCACCACACTTAGCTTGTTTTTGAAGCAAAGCTCTATTTTAATTTAGGTCCACTGTGAGCGATGATCAGCTACTGAAGTTAACTCTGTTTGTCTGTTAGCAAAATATCTCATGAATCACTAGTTTAATATTAATGGAACTCTGAGAATAATCATTGGTTGTACGTCTCTGGAGTCATCGATGAGAACCTTAGAGCAGTGTTTCCCAAAGTTGGGGTCGGGACCCAAAATGGGGTCCCAAAACATCAAGGTGGGG